CTGGACTTTACAAATGTACAGAGAGGAACAGATAAAGTGCTGGGATTAGAGGCATGAGCCACCACACTAGGCCTGGTCAGATTTCTTCCATTGGACTTTACAGATGTATAGAGAAGAACAGATGTCTTTACCTTTTTTTTTTTTTTAAACAGTATCATGTTGTTTCCTTCCCCCTCAGCTTGTTCCATGAGTTTTGTGCATGATGTTCCATAAAGTAAACTCACAGATTGTTTTTACATCTAAAAGTTCTTCTGCTTTCTCTTTTAGCCGGATGCGCAGTGATGGTTTTGATGAAGAAAGTCAAAGAGACTATTGGAGGCCAAAGAATGAAATTTCTGGGACACTGGAAGATGATTTTCTTAAGGCAAAATCCTGGAACAAGAAGTTATATGATTATGAAGCTAACATGCCAGACAGGTTTGTGATTAATTCCTGTGAGCATTAATATTTGGCCTGAGAATGTGTACTTATCAAAATTAATTGTCCCCACAAAAAACTTGTGTACAGATGTTCATACCAGCATTATTAATAATGGCCCCAAAAAATAATGGCCAAGTAATCCAAATGTCTGTCAACTGATGAATGGGTAAACAAAATGTGATATATCCATACAATGGAATATTATTTGGCAGTAAAAGAAATGAAGTACAGATATATGTTACAACGTGGATAAACCTTGAAAACATTATGCTAAGTGAGAAGAAAGAAGCCAAGTCACAAAAGACCACATATTGTATGATTCTATGTATGTACTCTGTCCACACATAACTGTATGAATCCATTTATGTGGTAGGCAATTCCATAGAGACAGAAGGTAGATTAGTGATTGCCCTGGGCTGGAGGCACTACACTTTGAATTCCATGATATGTGAATTTATACTTCAATAAAGTTGTTATTTAAAAAGAAATAGGCCAGGTGCAGTGGCTCACGCCTGTAATCCCAGTACTTGGGAGGCCGAGGCAGGTGGATCACGAGGTCAAGAGATTGAGAACATCCTAGCTACCATGGTGAAACCCCATCTCTACTAAAAATACAAAAATTAGCTGTGCGTGGTGGCATGAGCCTGTAGTCCCAGCTACTTGGGAGGCTGAGGCCGGGGAATCGCTTGAAACGAGGAGGTGGAGGCTGCAGTTGAGCCGAGATTGCACCACCGCACTCCAGCCTGGCAACTGAGTGAGACTCTGTCTCAAGAAAAAAAGAAAAAAATAAATAAAAATAAAAAAATAAGGCTGGGTGCGGTGGCTCATGCCTGTAATCCCAGCACTTTGGGAGGCCGAAGTGGGCGGATCATGAGGTCAGGAGTTCGAGACCAGCCTTGGCAACATAATGAAACCCCATCTCTACTAAAAATATAAAAATTAGCTGGGCATGATGGCACGTGCCTGTAGTCCCAGCCACTCGGGAGGCTGAGGCAGGAGAATCACTTGAAACCTGGAGGCGGGGGTTGCAGTGAGCCGAGATCGTGCCACTGTACTCCAGCCTGGGCAACAGAGAGAGACTCCATCTCAAAAAAAAAAAAATTGTCCCCATGTAGACAGCATGATATTATGAAGTGTTTTTGGAAAAGTGCTTCACAGCTAAAGAGCAGAGTGTAAGGTTCGTTAGTGTTTCTTAAAACAATGGCCAGTTCTCTTACAAATGGACCAAAGAATCTTCTGTGTCTTAAATGATAGTGCACAATACAGGAAATGTAGGTGTTGCTGAGCTGTAATGTGGGCTTGGTTCTACCATATCTCTATTTTGTGTTTATGTTTGTGTATGCATGTACTCCAAAGTCTTTCTAATTTTAATTTCCAAAAACGTATACATTGCTTTAACAATACATATGGTGTGTCATATTACAGATGGGGTCACAGTGGTTATAAAGAGTTATACCCTGAAGAATTTGAAACAGACAGGTAAGGAAAATGGGCTTACCAAAAGAAACTAAGATGGTACAAAATCTGTATTATAAATTGATTTTCTAACTTTTACAAAGAATATACTTGCCATTGAAAATGTAGCTAGAGAAACAATAGGTGATTTAGTTAGGAGGTGATCCCTGTTTTGCCATTCTGTGGTTGATGTCTGGCATGTCTGTAAGCATTTTGGTTTTTATATACAGTACTCCATACAGTAACCCAGTATGGCAGCTCAGAATTTTTACCTTCATTTTAAAGAAGAGGAAACAAAAACTCAATGAGAATATTAAAGTGTTAAAGTATATGTTAAAGTGCTGATTTAAAATTCAGATGTTAATCTCAATTTTTTTATCTAGAATGCAAAATATTAAAATAATATGCTTTTTTTTTACATAAAAGCTTCTATTTTTTACTTTTTTATTAGTAGTGATCAGCAAGATATTACCAACGGGAAAAAAACATCTCCCCAGGTAAAGTCATCTACCCATGAATCCCACAAACACAAGAAGTCAAAGAAATCCCACAAAAAAAAGCAGAAAAAAAGGTCACACAAAAAACAGAAGAAAAGCAAAAAGGAAGCCACAGATATAACAGCAGATTCCTCGAGTGAGTTCTCAGAAGAAACGGGGGCTTCTGGTACAAGGAAAAGGAAACAACCACATAAGCGCAAGAAAAAATCCAGGAAAAAGTCTCTCAGAAAACCTGCTTTATTCTTAGAGGCAGAAGGTAACACTTCACATTCAGATGATTCAGCATCCAGCAGTTCTGAGGAAAGTGAGGAAAGAGACACTAAGAAAACCAAAAGGAAAAAGAGAGAGAAAAAAGTCCATACGCCTGTAGCCAACAGTGAAGTACAGGAGAGGACAAACAAACGCACAAATTGGAAAGTAGCTACAGATGAAAGGTCTGCTGAGAGTTCAGAGGATGACTAAATGGGAAACACTTTTGTTTTCCACATGACTGTGGATATTTACAGTTCTTACTTCTTGTGGTTTTGCCAGTGACTCTTGTTCAGCACAGGGCCTGAGGTCAAAGCTGTCTTGTGCCATCCTTATGTTCTGACAGACTTCTTGTCTTCTATTTTGGCGTTAAGCTTGATCCCCTTTTCTTGTTAAAGGGGAATCTGGTATTTTGTTATGAAGGTTTCTTGAAGAGATTATTTTTTTTGCATTAATTACGTTTAGTGTAGAGTGCATATACAGCAAATTAAAGGACCCAGAAAGCTGGATCCAATAGTGACCTGGGTACACCAATCAGAATATTGAATTTGGGGAAGTTAAGGGCTGGGATCAAGAGGTGGATTGGAACTAATGCCGTGTAGGATGGTATGACAAGGCAACACTGTATTGCTCTCTGTTTATATAGCAGGTGTCACAACTGACTTGTCTTTAGCCTTGGTGCTTTGATCCTTCTGTATTTTGACCCCACAAGTGTGGTCCAGTTTACTTAATCAGGAAATGGGCCGAAGAACAAACCTTTTCCCTTCATGATAACATCCATAGACAACTTACTAGAAGGGACTAGAGTTTTCACAAATTTCCCTGCTGGACGGGGCAGATAGCTATACTTAGTATACGCCTAAACATGGTTAATTGGATAGTAAATGGTTTTCTAGTTCCATTGCTGTATATTTGCCTAAATGGACTTGTGTTCAAATTATTTCTTCAGTTGTCATAGATAACCCTTTACCAAATGGGGAAGAATTAGGAAATAATCATGTTGTCTAATGGTACTCTGGATTCAGGGCAGCAACTGCCGTTTAAATGTTGTCTTGTTTATTTCTAAATCTGTTAATGAAGTTTAGGTTTTCCCTGAAACTAAGTTGAATTATTTTCCAAAACGAAATAGGCTTCTCAGGGACATATCCTCTTCTTCCCAGTCTGCCTTTGGATTAAAGCACCAAGCAGAGACCACATTATTTCCCTTCACTATACTGTGATCCTTAGTATGTTCAATTCTTAAGAAACCAAAATATCACTGAAAGAAGGCTGGCAGAACACAGGTGAATTTTTTCACTATGGGAAGAAAGATCAAGTGACATATTGTTATTTTTTCCTGGTTGTCACTTAATGGGCTGAGTAAAAAGCTTGAAAACTCACTTTTGGTCTTGGTTCTGCCACTCATTGGTTATGAGGAGGCCCAGAGCAGGTAAGTTCACCTTCCTGGCCTTACTTTCCTGATGTGTAATACAGAATTACTTCACGGTAGCATGACAGTATAAGACACCAGCAGTAGATACAACTATGATGACATTCCATGAGTTGGTATTTTTAGTTCTAACTGCTAAATTTGTTCTCTTTACGGGACAGATTTCTAATAAAGTGCTTGGTCTTGAAATACATGGTTGGACAGAGGTGCCCTATCCCTTAACTATGAGCAGGTGCTACCTTTTGGGATATTTATTTGAAATTTTAATACTTTGGTACTCAATTGTCAATGTTCCATGGTGTGTATTTTTATTTTGGGGATTAGTGGGGGCCTAAAGGGAGAGGAATAGTCTCTTAATTACTACCTCTTAACCTAAAGCAATTATTTTGTTCCTGGAGCAAGTTAAATCTTTGTTGGAAGGAGCTTTGGCCATATATTTTTTAGCATGCGTTGTTTTTGTGCCCTGAAAGTACTGGTTTAAGCACAGACTCAGGAAAATGGGCCAGTATAACAGGCCATCTCCAGGAAATTAGCTCTATTTGGGTCCTGACCTTCTCTTCCTGCCAAGCTAGCAGGCTTGCTCTTTCCCAAGGAATACACATCTTGCCTTTTTTTTTTTTTTGCCATGTTTACCTTTTCTTGGTCGTGTATAAGCAATAAAGCTGTTTTTTGTTCTTCACCTTTCTTAACCCCAAATTTTCTTCTATGCCTTAGGCTTTGATGGTTCTTCCAACCCCCTTAATATGGCTTAGGGTGGTTTTGCAAAAACCTACAATCCCCCATTTGCACTACTGGCCATGGAACATTTATTTCTAGTGTTCCTGCCAATCAGAGATCTCTATATTAAATTCTAAAATGGGATTAAAAGAAGAGTTGGAGAATTCACACTTATTGAGTAACTGACGTGGTAACAACCTGGAATTTCTGAATTCCAAATAAATAAATTTCACTCTTTGAACATTTCATCTTTTACTTTTTAGCACCAACAGACTCGATAACAGCCTGATGCTGATCTGACAATGGGTTGACAGCCTTCCCCCACAGGCCCTTAAGTCTGCTTAATAACAAGTCCTTTGCTTCTGTCATTCTCCTGGGGGATGGCCTACTACCCTCCTTTCTGTACAATCTGGGCAAACCGACTGGTGATGGCAAGAGTGGTGTCAATGAAGCGGTCTACACAGCTGGAGAGACAATTTTCAGTGCGAGAGTCTAGGCGATTCCCTGGCTTCTCCACACATTTATCCCAACATAACTCCATGAAGTGATGCACCTAAAAGGAAAGAAAAAGAGTAACCATTTGGGTCTGCAGATAGGCCTAACTCTTGTTTATTAACTTCTCACTTTTTGACACCTGACAAAACCATTCTTTAAATCAACCACGGAGTCACTTTAGGCTCTTCTCTTTCTTCATTTCCTAATTAGTCACCAATATTGATCCAGATCCTCGTCCCTACAGATTGTACATTCTCAGGTAGGACTAATAACCTTTTATATTCCCCAAAGTAGCTAGCACCAGTGTGAACAAACTAGGGAACCAATTAATTTCCCCAAACTATTGCACTCATTCCAAACCTATCCCCTAGACAAAGTAATTATTCCATTAACCTTTTGGGGGTTATGGATCCACTCCCCAGAAGAATGCATATACAGGCACAGAAATTATGTGCACTTTCATTTGCATGTTCAGGGCCCAAAGATTTCTAGCCAGGGTTCTTGCTGGTCATCCTCCAAGCACCCTCTTCCTCCCACCCACAAGGAAAAAAAAAATAACCCAAGAGCTTACTATTTGTGAGGCTGGTTACTAAGAAATCAGTTCTCTCTAAGGTCCTCAAGGATAGCTGTCATCACCTCCCATTTAAGAGGCGTGATTACGTAGTCCAAGGTCATGTAGCCAGCAAGAAGTCAGGCCGGGTTAGAACCATGTCCGAAGGGCTCCAAACCCTTGTTCTAATCCATACTCTACAGCGACTACTTCAGAGTCCACCTTCCTCCAATAATGTTCTAGTCGTTTTCAAATACATTGTCGCATATGGTCCTCACAATTCAGCGAGGCAGTGGGGTGACAGCGAAACCAAAACCCAAAGTGGATTAGTATCTTTTCTACGGGCACGTGGCCTGCAAGGAGCAGAGGGAGGATGAGAACCCAGATCTTCTGAATGCCAGCCCAGTCATATCGCCGGCTAACTAGGCTCTCGTACCCTTGCGTCGCCCAAATCTTCTTCCCTGCTTTACACCTTTTCTTTTCTCCACGCTACGCTTACATAGCCGGCGCCTGAGCACTACCAGTCACCAGGGACAGGAGAGCCATGACTTGTCTTTTGTGAGGGGAATGGGATGCAGCCGGGATCGAGCACCAGTGAGCCGCCAGTGTACAGACCTGCGAGCGTGCCCAGGACCAGCAAGGAAGGTGAAACTTCCTTTCCCTTCACCCTCCCCGCCCCCGCACCTGTGCAGTAAACTGCGCCTTCTGCTGTTCGGCGGCCACCAGGCGCTGCAACTCAGCTTCATCAGCTTCACCCAGCTCCGCCATTGTTCGCCTCAGGCTCGCCACTTTCCGACAACCGTGTTTGCGCAAGCGCGACGGGTGTGCCCCGCCTATCCACTTCCGGTTCTCCCAGCATTTTCCTCCTCCCTGTTTTCTTTCGTCATCGTGGGTGGGAATTGTCGCGTAAGTGCTTCCGGGTTGGTGGATGACCTTGAGCCCTCAGGAACGAGATGGCGGTTGTCTGGAGGCTGAGTGCCCTTTGCGGTGCCCAAGGAGGCCGAGGTGAGGGGTCTTCGCACCCTGAGGTGCTTAGCACAGCCTCCAGCCAGGGAAGGGGATGAAAGTGAGGACTCATCTGCCGGGTGGGAGGTCTCTTGAGGAGAAGAAAATCCCGAAATCACAGCAATGACCACTGTAGTCTAGGGGTCCAGATGTTTACCGAAACGTGTATTTCACTTGCTGTGAGCTGAGTTGACGGAATAATCAGGAAGAGCGCTCGCTCTGGAAGTTGCAGTCCTGATGAGGCTAATCCACATAGGAGTTCTGTTTTCTCCCCGTTTACTGTCCCTAGAATGCTCCCCACTGGCTCCCACCCTGAATCGGGAAAGAGGGTTAGGCGCTTGCCCGTTTCTTCTGGAGTTGGTGTGTTTGGGTGTGGGAGTGGACGAGGGGATCAGTTCGAAAATCATTTAACCTGGGTATTTGTTCTACCGCAGGCACTGTAGTAATGCTAGGATACAAATGTAAAGGAAAACGTAGTTCCCGCCCTCAAAGAACTTTCACTCTGATGAGGAAAACACTGTCGTAGTAGTCCAGGCAAGATGGGGTCCTGAACTAGGAAAGTAGCACAAAGAAAAGAAGATTGTTTCAAGAAATGTTAAAGAGATATGCCAATAGGATTTGGCGATTGAATTTAGGGGAAACGTCTCTCATGACTTCTAGATTACTGAGTTAGGTTAAAGAATGCCTGAGGTGTCATTAAATAAAGTAGGGAACATGCAGATGTTCCCTAGTCTAACTTCAGAGTAACCCCAGTGAAATAGATGCTATCATCATTTTACAGATGAGATGTTATTCCCTATTTAGGGTTAAGTAGCTTACCTATGGTCCTTTAGAAAGTTTTCAGTCCTGTTAAAGGAGGCGTTCTTATGATCATCCTACTCTTTCCTCAGCTCTGTTGCTGCGAACCCCAGTGGTCAGACCTGCTCATATCTCAGCATTTCTTCAGGACCGACCTATCCCAGAATGGTGTGGAGTGCAGCACATTCACTTGTCACCCAGGCACCATTGTATGTTCTCTCCATTGCTGCTGCTTTCTGGGCTCTAGCCATCTTTACCTTCACTAATTGTCATGCCTTGAGCAGGACTTCCTACCTGTAGGGGGGACTCTTGTGTCCAACTCTGTCAAATGAAGACCTAGTTTACACCTTTGGGCAGACTAGTGCCATTATGGTTGAATGATGCCATTTATAATCATAGAAGACCTTCTAGCCTAAGTCTTTAAAATTTTTTTCTTTTTTTTTTTGAGACGGAGTCTCGCTGTGTTGTGCAGGCTGGAGTGCAGTGGCATGATCTTGGCTCACTGCAACCTCTGCCTTCTGAGTTCAAGCGATTCTTCTGCCGCTGCGTCCCGAGTAGCTGGGATTACAGGTGCCCACCACCACGCCCAGCTAAGTTTTGTACTTTTAGTAGAGATGGGTTTCACCATGTTGGCCCGGCTGGTCTCAAACTCCTGACTTCCTCAAACTCCTGACCTCAGGTGATCTGCCCACCTCGGCCTCCCAAAGTGCTGGGATTGCAGTTGTGAGCCACCCACTCCTGGCCCACTAACTTACATTCATAAGGTAATTTGTTCACTTCACTGAACCAAGACTGCCTTAATTCTGTAGCAATAGAGCAATTCTGTATTTTATCCATCTTCTTGGATCTGTCTTCTAATCAATATGTAGGCATTGCGATACCCTTTTGCTAAAATACTTCAAAAAACAGAGATAAAGACTTCAAAAAACAAAGATAGCTTCTCTCTTAACTACTATTTTAATATTTTACTTCCGTTGTACTCAGAGTTATATCCTATATGTATACTGTCTGTCAGTTTGGGTTACTGTGTGGCATATGTTGAACATGAAAGATGTGTTTCTCACATCGACTTTTATGAATCTGGTCCTTTCTGTAGCTGGTTCCAAGGCTGCGTCTCTCCACTGGACTAGCGAGAGGGTTGTCAGTGTTTTGCTCCTGGGTCTGCTTCCGGCTGCTTATTTGAATCCTTGCTCTGCGATGGACTATTCCCTGGCTGCAGCCCTCACTCTTCATGGTCACTGGCAAGTATAGCAATTCCAAGTATAGTTGTCTGCTCAGTTTGTTTGCTGTGAGTTTGTCTTATGTATTATATATGAGAGAGAAGTTAATTGAAATGCTCTAAATTTGTTGAAAACTTTAAAATATATATAAAATATGTATATGCCCAGATTTATATATCCACCTGCCTATTCAATGTCTTTCAATTAGATTTCCATATCTAATAACATTTTGAATGTAGCTTGTCAAACTGAGTTTCTGATCTCTCCTAATCTGTTCCTCCTGCACCCTTGCCCATCTGAATTAATGGCATTTCCAGTTTTCTGTTTGTTCAAGTCTAAACCTGGTAAGCTCCAAACTTGGTCATTATCCTTGACTCTAGTAGTAGTCTCCTAACTGGTCCCCATTTGTGTCCATTCCCAACACAGCAGACCCAGTGATCCTGTTAAAATGTTAAGTCAGAATAAGACATTCCTCTTCTCAAAACCCTATTTTTTCTGTTCACGTTATTCAAAGTCAGAATTCTTAGAGTTGTCTGCAGACTCTACATGATTGAACCTCCCTGTTTCTTCCCTCATTTTTAGCTGCGCGCTCTCTCTCATTCACACGGGCTTCCTTGAGATTCCTTGAACATGCCAGGGACATTCTAGGTCTCAGGGCTTCTCTTACTGCTTCTGCCTGAAACTCTTTTTCTAGCTATACACTTGGCTTGTTCCTTCATCTCCTTCAGGTCCTGAATGTCATTCTCTCAACAAAGCCTTCCCTAACCACTTATTCAAAATTGCAGTTTCTGTCCTACCATTCCTTATCTCTCTTGCTTGTTTTATTTTTCTCAATAGCACTTACTACCTTCTAATATACTACATCATCTGTTTATTATTTTGTATAGTAATTGCTTCTTTGCATTTTGTTTTATCACCCAAATGTATGTCCCTAAATAGTATAGTTTATTCTTGCCTCTTAAAAGATACATGTGGGTGGGTTATTTTGTTGTTTTTACTGTGTGTGTTTGCTGTTGTGCCTCTAGAACATAGAACTACTGTCTGGTACCTGACATATAGCACTCAGTAAATACTTGCTGAATGAATGAGTATACAGCGTCTGTTTGTTTGTTTATTTATTTATTTATTTTTGAGACAAAGTCTCGCTCTGTCACCCAGGCTGGAGTGCAATGGCATGATCTCAGCTCACCACAACCTCCGTCTCCCAGGTTCAAGCAATTCTCCCTGCCTCAGCCTCCCAAGTAGCTGGGATTACAGGCGCGTGCCACCAGACCCAGCTAATTTTTTTGTATTTTTAGTAGAGATGGGGTTTCGCCATGTTGGCCAGGCTGGTCTGGAACGCCTGACCTCAGGTGATCCACCTGCCTCGTCCTCCCAAAGTGCTTGGATTACAGGCATGAGCCACCGAGCCCGGCCTATTTATTTATTTATTTTTTGAGACAGGGTCTCCCTTTGTCATCCAGGCTGCAGTGCAGTGGCATGATCTCGGCTTACTGCAACCTCTTCCTCCTGGTTCAAGTGATTCTCCTGCCACAGCCTCCTGAATAGCTGGGATTACAGGCACACACTACCACGCCCAGCTAATATTTGTATTTTTAGTAGAAATGGGGTTTTGCCATGTTGGCCAGGCTCGTCTCGAATTCCTGACCTCAAGTAATCCACCTGCTTCAGCCTCCTAAAGTGTTGAGGTTACAGGTGTGAGCCACCACGTCTGGCCCAGCTTTTGTTTATTTTATCTGGTATAGTTTGTATGACTTTCTGTGTTATTGAACCTTCTAAAATGAGGGTAAACAACTCAAGGTTGGGTTCCTTGAGTTGTTCTTTTTAAGTTTTGCAGGAACAATATGTTGTCGTTGTGGGGAGTATGGAGGCGCTTTCAGATTGTTGAAACTGGAAGTACTTTGGAGAGTGTCTTAACCAACTCTTTTATTTTACAAATGTGGCAACTAAGACCCAGGGAGGTTAAGTGACTTGTCAGAATCATTTTCTTTTTTTTTTTTTTTGAGACGGAGTCTTGCTCTGTCGCCCAGGCTGGAG